AATTGGATTGTTTATATACTTGTTGCTGAATTTTAAGATTTATTTCTGTATTTCGAGTAATAGCCCTTTATCTGATATATCTTTTGCAAACATTTTCTCCCAGTCTGTGGCTTGTCTTTTCATTTTCTTGACAGGAAACTTTTATTATTTGTTTATTTATTTATTATACTTTAAGTTCTAGGGTACATGTGCTCAATGCGCAGGTTTGTTACATATGTATACATGTACCATGTTGGTGTGCTGCACCCGTTAACTTGTCATTTACATTAGGTATATCTCCTAATGCTATCCCTCCCAGCTCCCCCCACCCCAAGACAAGTCCCAGTGTGTGATGTTCCCCACTCTATATCCAAGTGTTCTCATTGTTCAATTCCCACCTATGAGTGAGAACATGCAGTGTTTGGTTTTCTGTCCTTGCGATAGTTTGCTCAGAATGATGGTTTCCAGCTTCATCCATGTCCCTATAAAGGACATGAACTCATCCTTTTTTATGGCTGTATAGTATTCCATGGTGTATATGTGCCACATTTTCTTAATCCAGTCTATCATTGGTGGACATTTGGGTTGATTCCAAGTCTTTGCTATTGTGAATAGTGCCCCAATAAAACATACGTGTGCATGTGTCTTTATAGCAGCATGATTTATAATCCTTTGGGTATATACCCAGTAATGGGATGGCTGGGTCAGATGGTATTTCTAGTTCTAGATCCTTGAGAAATTGCCACACAGTCTTGCACAATGCTTGAACTAGTAGGAAACTTTTAATTAAACAGAATAAAGCAAAAAAAAGTTTTGAATCACGCATTAAATATAAAATCTCAGAAGCTGTAAGCACATCTGAGACATTAGGTTTCTTTAAAACGTGATCGTCAAGGTAATCAAAAAGTGCTTCTGAATTTCTTGACAAAATTAGAAAACTTTAAAAACTAACATCAATTGTTAGTAAATTATATGAAGACGGGATCATATCTGTCTCATTCACCCCTACATCCCTGGCAGAGTGCCTGGCACACAGTAAGTGTTCAAAAAATATTTTTAAGTGAATGAATGTTCACTGTGGGTTAGCAACATTATAGATGTTACTTTATTTAATCTCCTTGGTAATCTTAAAAGTTAGATTTTGGCCTCGCACAGTGGCTCACGCCTGTAATCCCAGCACTTTGGGAGGTGAAGGTGAGCGGATCATGAGGTCAGGAGATCAAGACCATCCTGGCTAACACAGTGAAACCACGTCTCTATTAAAAATTAAAAAAAAAAAAATAGCTGGGCATGGTGGTGGGCGCCTGCAGTCCCAGCTACTCGGGAGGCTGAGGCAGAATAGCGTGAACCCGGGAGGCGGAGTTTGTAGTGAGCCGAGATCGCGCCACTGCACTCCAGGCTGGCCAAGACTGAGACTGTGTCTAAATAAAATAAAATAAGATAAAATAAAATAAATTTTAAAAAGTTGGATTTTGCTGTCATCCTCATCATGGCAAAATTAGGAAACTGAACTTCTTGGCAAAATTAGAAAACTTTAAAAAACTAACATCAATTGTTAATAAATTATATGAAGGGAGGATAATATCTGTCTCGTTCACCCCTATATCCCTGGCAGAGTGCCTGGCACATAGTAAGTGTCCAAAAATATTTTTATTTTTTATTTTTTTTATTTTTTTTTTGAGACGGAGTCTCGCGCTGTGTCACCCAGGCTGGAGTGCAGTGGCCCGATCTCGGCTCACTGCAAGCTCTGCCTCCCAGGTTCACGCCATTCTCCTGCCTCAGCCTCCGAGTAGCTGGGACTACAGGCGCCCGCCACCACGCCCGGCTAGTTTTTTGTATTTTTAGTAGAGACGGGGTTTCACCATGTTAGCCAGGATGGTCTCGATCTCCTGACCTCGTGATCCACCCGCCTCGGCCTCCCAAAGTGCTGGGATTACAGGCTTGAGCCACCGCGCCCGGCCCAAAAATATTTTTAAGTGAATGAATGTTCGTTGTGGGTTAGCAACATTACAGATGTTATCTTATTTAATCTTCTTGGTAATCTTAAAAATTAGATTTTGGTATCCTCATCTTATAGATGAGGAGATTGAATCTCAGGGAGATAAGAAAGTGCCCAAGGTCACACAACTAGGAAACAGCAGAAATGGAAATCCAATTACAGTATGCCTGACTCTAAATCCAATATTTGTTCTACTATGACACTTGTTTTAGCAAAGACTGAGAGTTGGCTATTCAACTGTCATTTCTCTCCATGTCCTTGAGGACAGACCTTTATTGTGTACTAGTGCCCTAGACCCTTAAGTGATTCAAGTAAATCCTCATTGATCTGCCCCCATTCCCCATTTCTGTAACCAGTTTAGAGGTTTGGAATGTGACCTGGTTTTGGCTGTGAGATTGGATAAAATATTCTGATGGTACAGATTGGGGAGGAGTTTGGGAAAGGATTTTTGTTGCCTCTTTAACAAAGAAACACAAGAGAGAAACGGAGCTTTGTTTGACTCTTAAGTGTTGTTGCATGGAGATGTGATGCCACAGCTCCTGAAGCCATCTTGCTGCCAGGAGGGGAATGAGAAGACAACCCCAGGGGCCTAAGAAACTGTTGGACTCCCAGCATTGTTCAGAAAGTGGTAGCTCTCAGTCAAGTCTTTGGTTTTCCTAAGATAGTTACCTGAGCATTTGGGCTGCCCAGGAACCAGATAATTGGAGTATCAGTCACTCTGTAATACATACCCTACGAAAACCAGCTCCACAGTTTTCGAAATCTCTATTACAAATGCATATGTAAAATGAAATGCTTTGATACTTTTTATTGTTAGTTTATGGAAATGGGATGTCTTAACTTATTCATTCATTTACTAGCCATTTCCTGTGTGCCAATTGCTGGCAGGCATGGTAAGTACTTCATAGAGATAGGCACTACAGAAGAGCAAAGGGAGATACTCAACCAGCCTGGTGGTGGGTTCTAAGAGGAAGGGTTTGGGAAGACTCTGTACCAGAGCTGACAAGCAGTAACACTTGAATGAACCCAAAAAGACCAGTAGGAATTATCCAGGTAGATAAAGAAAAACAGGGTATTCCCTGCAAAGAAGGTAGCATATGAGATACATGGAGATGCGACAGAATATGACACAGCTGAGGAAGTACAAGTAATTGAGTGCATAGGGTGCAGGTTAGAAGAACTGGGAGGGAATGTAAGAGAGGTAAACAGAGGCTTGCTCACAAAGCACCTTGGCCAAGCTATGGGTGAGACTTATTCAGCAAACAGTAGGGAGGGAGTTACTGAAGGATATTAAGTATGTGCTGAACATGACGGTACTTGCATATTAGGAAGATCACTTTGGCAACAGAAAGAATATTTTGGAGAAGAGGAAAGGAGACCAATTGAGTTGATGTGCTGCAGAGAAGCAATGAAAAGAGGCTTTTAGATTCAAGACATACTTAGGAAATGGTTTAGAACTTGGTGAGTGTATATCAGAGTTCAGAAAAGAGGGGAGTGCAAGGTTGGCAAAGAAACACAGAGCTAGCTAGCGGCATGGAGGAGGCTGCCAGACTGTGTGTTAAGGGCTCAGGTGAGGACACAGACCAAGAGTTAATGGTTCTAGTGCACATGGTCGAGTGATTTACTTAAAGTGGTTTTAGGAGCAAAGAAGGATGGATCAATCCACATTTGGGTAAGTGTTGCAGAAGGAAAAGAAAGCAAGAAGAGTGAGAAGTTGAAAGTATTGTTTAAAGAGACAGGTTGAAGAGCTAAACCAAAGCAGGATGAAGGAAGCAAAACCAGAATAGGAAAGAAAGGGATGGGGCTTCACAACTGTGGAGGAGAAGCAGGTATGATTGGAGCAATGTGGACTGTAGGAGCTGATGGAAAGAAGACTGAACAGGTGGAGTAGCTCCAGGTAATACGAAGGGGAAGGGGTGAGTTGCTGATATCTGTGTGGAGATGAAGGTCAGTGACGTTGAAGAAGGGAAGGCACTGGGTATTGGAAAGGTCATCCACACAGACACTGAAGACACCAGGATTATGGTAGATTTGGGAGGGAGAGAAAAATCATAAACCATGTCGGGAAATGATAAGAACAACAAGAAAAGATGGACAATGGTGAATTTGAGAGGCATAAGTTTCAAAGGAAGAAGGATTTTCATAGGACATTTGAGGAATATTGAATGAGCAAGTGTTAATAGTTATTTAGCACTTACTGTGTACCTGGTTCTATTCTAAGTGCTTTACATGTACATTTACTAAATTCATGTAATTCTCATCTGTGAGGTTAATACTGTAACTCCCATTTTACAAATGAGGAAACTAAGGCTCTGAGATGGTTAATAACTTGCCCAAAGTCTAACCGTGTCTAAACCAGGTAGTTTGTCATCCGCAAAGTCTACACTCTTGCCCATGTCATTCTTCCTGCTTCTGCCCACCAGCCCAGCCAACCCATGTGGTTAAGTGGAAGGTTCAAGAACAAGCAGCCTCCAGTTAAGAGTGTAGGGAGGAGGTAGTGTCTGAGGTGGGAGCCATTCAAAAAACTCCAACCATAACTGGTCTTTGATAGTACCACCTCCTTTATGTTTTCCAGGGTCTAATTCATTTAGTACTGAGACATGATAATGTGCCTTTGAACTATGGGTTAATATGTAAACTGCCCCGAAGCCTTTTCAGAAGTGGGTACAGTATCCTTTTAAAATAAATGGTTACATAATTATTAACTATAAGTAATCAATTACATAAATGAGTTAATTTGCATATTTTAGAGAATTTATATACTCTATCTAAGAAGTGGCAAAGAAAAAACTGAAGTATATAACCGTGAATTATACATAGTTCTGCTTTTTCTCTGGCATTACATACTAAATTTTATGACAAATCAGTTCATGACTATATTTTGAAAGATAATCTCCCTATTTTTCTTTTTGACTTTAGTTACCTGCCAGACACTGACTATGTTAAACACCAAAGCACAAGAATGCTCCAAAGAAGAGGTCTATATTGCTTGACTCATATTAACTTCTGTTTATTTTCTTAGGATTAAGACCCAAACGTTGTTGAAAAATATTCAGATCCTACAAGACACTGACATGCCAGTTCCTCAGCTTTGATGGAGAAACCAGCTTTCTCTTCTTGCAGAGATACTCTTCATGAAAAGTGGAGCTCCAAGAAGAATAGACATGAGGAAAATATGTATTTTTACAAAAGGAAATGTATGGTGCAATTATAAACTGTAGCATGAACCCATAATTGGAAGTCTACGTCTCACAGTTATAGTCAGAAATTCTGGTACATATGAAATAAGTTCTTTCAAAATGGGATTCAGGTATTATTTAGAAATGCATCTACTGAAAAGAAACATACCACAAAAATTTTTGCTGATTATGGATGAGATCATGGACAGTTTCATCCAAATTATGAGCTAGATTTGTCAGATGTAGAGTCTCAATCAGGTCACTTGAAAGACCAAATGATTTCCTTTTCATCTGAAGGGTTCAGAGAGGCAGCTTTTGAAAAAGGCACTGTTGAAATATTCAAAGTAGCTGTTCTTAGCACAGCTTTGATTTCTAAAACAACTAGGACTGTGGAACTACATGAGGGGAGAAAAGAGAAACTGAAGAATTGTTTGAAAACATAAATATTCTTTACTTATATTACCACTCCATGCTTTGTGAAAAAAAAATTATTTTATGAAGTCAAGAAGTAAATCAGAAGAAAACAGCAGGGAAAGTCAACACAAACTGGTTTATCTAATACTTTCTCAGTGTCCAATTTGCAATGCACTGAGTTCCCTGCTTAACTATGTCTATATACTGGGGGCAGGGAGAGGAGTAGGTTAAAAATAAATATGAGTTGCAAGTCTTTCTCCTCGGGCTGCTAATATTAATATACCTGAATTTTATGTTTGTTGTTATCTTCCTTGTCTCTATAGTTTTTGCAACTAGTGTATATATGTCTAAACAATCTATTGCTTAAATTTACATAATTTTCAACTTTACATATGTAGAATCATGCTGTTTGTTTCCTTCCATACCTCAGTTTTTTCACTAAAAATTGTCTTCTGAAAAAACTTGGAGGTATCATACTTCCTGATTTAAAATTATATTACAATGTTATAGTAAACAAATACGTATAGTACTTACACACAAAAACAGACACAGTGTAACAGAATGGAGTGCAGAAATAAATTCAAGCATATACAGTAAACTAATTTTTGACAGAGACACCAAGAGGATACAGTGGGAAAAGGATAGGATCTTCAATAAATAGTGCTGAGAAAATTGAATTTCCACACATATGCAAAATTTATAAAATATAAGGCCTAAAACTATAAAATTCCTTAAAGAGAACACAAAAAGCTCCTGGACATTGGCCTTGGAAATAATTTTTTTAATATCACACCAAAAAATGAAAAAAAAAAAATAATGCTCAGGCTACAAAAGCAAAAATAAATAAATGAGACTACATTGAACTACAAAGATTTGTACAGCAAAGTAAATAACCAACAAAATAAAATGACAGCCTATGGATTGAGAAAAATATTTGCAAACCATGCATCTGATAAGGGGATAATATCCGAAATTAATAAAGAACTCATACAACTCAATAATAGGAAATCAAATAGCCTGATTTTAAAATGGGAAAAGAGCACTTGTCGACATTTCTCCAAATAAGACATAAAAGTGGCCAACAGATATATGAAAAGGCACCCAACATCATTAATCGTCAGAAGAATGCAAATAAAAACCATTGAGATAGCATCTCACACCCATTAGGATGGCTGTTATCAAAAAAACAAAAGATAAATGTTGGTGGAGTTGTGGAGAACAGGGAGCCCTAGTACATTGTTGGTAGGGTTATAGATTGGTACAACCATTATGAAAAATAATATTGAGATGTCTAAAGAAATTCAAATGAGAACCATCATGATCTGACCCAGCAATCCTTCTTCTGAGCATAGACCCAAAGTAAATGAAATAATCACCTCGTAAAGGCATCCACACTCCCATGTTCATTGCAGTACTATTCTCAATAGCCAAGATGTGAAAAGGGCCTAGATGTCTGTTAATGGACAAATGGATAAACTGTGATATACATATACATATACGTATAGTTCTCTTACACTGAACGTATATTATTCAATATTGAAAAAGAAGATTCTGCCATTTGCCACACATAGTGAACCTGGAGGATGTTATACTAAGGGAAATAAGCCAGATGCAAAAAGAAAAATATTGCGTTATCTTGCTTATTTGTGAAATCTAAAAGAAAAAGTCAAATATACAGAGATAGAGAATAAAACTGTTGTTATGGGCAGGGGATAGAGAGATGAAGGTCAAATATGTGAACTGAATGAGACTAGAGATCTGATGTACATCATGAAGAATATAGGCAATAAAATTGCACTGTATTTGGGAAACCTGCTGAGTAGATTTTAGTTACTGTTGCCACAGAAACAAAGAAGAAATAGGTACCTGTGTGAGATTATGGATATGTTAATTTGCTTCACTATATGTAACTATATGTATCCCATCACATCGTGTTGGATACCTTAAATATATGCAATAAAAATGTATATTAAAAAATTATCTTTTGGGATTTGTTCATGTTGAGGCACGTAGGAGTAATTCATTTTTCATCACCAAAGAGTATTCCATTTTATGAATATGCTATAATTTACAGCATAATTTATTTTTGCTTTGGGTGAATATTGAAATTTTTATAGACTTTTATTTATTTGTGTGTCTGCTTGGCTCTTACAAACATGCCTGCCTTGAACATTCTTGTATATCTCCTGGTATTCATATGTAAAAGTTTATCTAGGTTTATCTATCTAGAAGTAGAATTGTTGCGTTATTGGACATGGGCACCTTTAACTTTATTTACTGGATAATGCCAACTCGTTTTCCAGAGTACTAATTTATACAGTTATCCTTCAGAATCTGTGGATGATTTGTTCCAGGACTTCCTATAGATATCAAAATCCACAGATACTAAAGTCTCTTATGTAGAAATGGCATAGTATTTGCATATAACCTATGCATACCCTTCCATATACTTTAATCTTTAGGTTACTTAATATACCCAATATGATGTAAGTGCTATGTAAATGGTTGTTATGCTGTATTGTTTAAGAAATAATGATAAGGAAAAAAGTTGGTACTTGTTCAGTACAAATGCAAGCACCTTCTTCTTTCCAAATACTTTCTATCCATGGTTGGTTGAATCCACGAATATACAACCCATGGATATGGAGGGCCAACTGTACTCATACTTGCCTTCTGTTATTGCTTGAGAATCTGTCCAACACTTGTTACTGATCCAACTTTGTAATTATTGCTGCTGTGATTGGTACAAGTAGTATTTTATGTTATTTTAATTTGCATTCCCCATATGTTTGTTGCCAGTCCTACTGTCTTTCTGGAAAATGCCCATTTGTGTCTTTTGCCCATTTTTTTCTATTAGGTTGTCTGCCTTTTTTTCAGTGATTTTGAGTTTTAAAAATTATCTTTGAGTTCCATATATTTTGGAGACTAATCCTTTGCTAGGTATATATGTCACAAATTGGGGTTTATTGATAAATAGAATTCTTCATTTTAATGTAGTTCAATGTATTAACCTTTTTCTTTATGATTTGTTTTAGATGTCTTGTTAAAGAAATTCCTACTTATTATGAGGTAATTTATTTGCCTCTATTTCCTTCTAAAAGTTTTAAAGTTTTGCCTTTTACATGTAAGTCCTTTGTCCAACCTGAAACTCGATAATGCATTTCCAATTAATTTTTAAAATTTTCTCCATAATTGCCTTGCATATTGAGATAATTGTATGTTTTCTTTCTTCCTAGTTTGTTAAGGTAGTATTAGAGTAATAAACTTGAGAACGTTTAATTAACCTGCATTCCTGAAACAAATTCAACTTGAGCCTGATGTACACTGTGTAGTTTATTTTGTGAATATTTCCTTGGTGACTTTCATATATATTCATAAAGGAGATTAATCTGTAATTTTGCTTGGTTTTGATCTCACAGTTATTTTAGATCAAGAAAATCTTTTAATGCTTTTATCCTTAAAATGTATTTTGTTAATATCAGCATTACCTAAATTTTATTAGTGTGTATGTATATGTGTGTGTGTGTGTGTGTGTGTATATATATATCTACACATATTTGTTTGTGTAGTCATTAAGCTGTACACTTAGTATTTCTGCATATTGCCATATGTAAATGGTACCTAATAAAGTAATATTGTTGTTTTTAAAAAGAATGTAATAAGCAACCAAGAAAACATGGACTATTCAGCTACCACCATCAACTTTCAGTAATGGAGAATGGCAGGTGAAACAAAACAAAGATGCATAAACCAAAGCAAAATTCCAAAATTCTTTCATTTTGGAAACAAAAATCTTTCATTAAAAAATTTCTTTGACATAAGTCTGTTGGTAGAAATCTCAGTTTTTGTCTTCAAAAAATTTGTTTCTGAGAAACTAGAAGCTTACCTGCCAAGATCAGGAACAGGGCAAGAATGTCCCTTCTCACCACTCACATTTCAAGATGATACTGGAAGTTCTAACTAATGCAGTAAGATGAGAGAAGGAAATATATATACAGATTGAGAAGGAAGAAATAAACTGTCTGTATTTACACATGACATAATTGTTCATCTAGAAAATCTGAAAGAATCAATAACATCAAAAAAAATCCCTGGGGCCAGGCACAGTAGTGCATGCCTGTAATCCCAGCATTTTGTGAGGCTGAGACAGGAGGATTGCTTGTGGCCAGGAGTTCGAGACCAACCTGGGCAACAAAGCAAGACCTTGTTTCTACAAAAAGAATTTTTTCAATTACCTAGGTGCAGTGGTGTGCACCTGTAGTCCCAGCTACTTGCAAGGCTAACGCAGAAAAACCACTTGAGCCCAAGAGCTTGAGGCTGCAGTGAGCTATGATTGTGCCACTGCACTCCAACCTGGGTAACAGAGCAAGACCCATCTCTAAAAAGCAAAAAAAAAAACCCAAAAATGATGACAGCAACAAAATAAATTAATAGATTATAGTAAAGTTACAGTATAGAAGGTTAATATATACAAATCAATTGCTTTTCTATACACTAGCAAAGACCAAATAGAATTTGAAATTAAAAACATAATACCATTTATATTATCATCTCCAAAAATAAAATGCTTAGGTATAAATTTAATAAAATATGTACAAGATCTACATCAGGAAAACTACAAAACTGCAGTGAAAGAAATCAATGAAATAAAAAGATGGAGAGATAGTCCGTGTTCAAGTATAGGAAGACTGAAAATTGTCAGACATCAGTTCTTTTCAATGTGATCTATAGATTCAATGCAATCTTGGTCAAAATCCCAGCAAGTTATTTGCAGGATATCAACAAACTGATTCTAAAGCTTATAGGAAGAGGCAAAAGACTCAGAATTGTCCACACAATATTTAAAAAGAAGAATGAAGTCAAAAGACTGACATTACCAAATTTCAAGACTTACTATAAAGCTTTGATAATCAAGACAGTGTGGTATTTAGCAAAACAATAGACTAATAGATCAATGGAACAGAATAGAGAGCTCAGAATTAAACCCACACAAATATAGCCAAATAATCTTGGACAAAGAAGCAAAGGCAATTCAATAGACAAAAGACAACCTTTTCAACAAATGGTGTTGGAACAATTGAATATCAACATAAAAAAAAAAAAAAGAATATGGGACAACTTCACACCTTTCACAAAAAAATTAACTCAAAATAGATTATAGACCTAAGTGTAAAATTCAAAACTATAAAACTCCTAGAAGATAGCATAGGAAAAAGCTTATGACTTTGGGTATGGTGGTGACTTTTTAGGTACAACACCAAAGGCCCAATTCTTGAGAGAAATAATTGATAAATTGGGCTTCATTACAATTAAAAACTTCTGCTCTGAAAAAGACAGTATCAAGAGAATGAGAAGACAAACCACAGACTGGGAGAAAAATATTTGCAAAAGACCTATTTGATAAAGGTATTGTTATCCAAAATATACAAAGAAATCTTAAAACTCAACAAAAGAAAATTAACAACTCAATTTTTAAAAAATGGGCCAAAGGACTAAGCATTATCTCACCAAAGAAGTTATACAGCAGGCAAGTAAGCATATGAAAAGAAATTCCACATTGTATGTCATCAGGGAAATGCAAATTAAAACATTGAAATACCACTATACATCTATTAAAATGGTCAAAATTCAAAACTCCGACAACACCAAATGTTGGCGAGGATGTGGAGCAATAGGAACCCTCATTCATTGCTGATGGGAATGGAAAATGGTACAGGCCCTCTGGAAGACTGTTTTTCAGTTTCTTACAAAAC